TGTACACAATATAATTTCAAGTTCTCAATAATTAAATTCAATATTCGTATCAATTTCAAGATTTCAGTATAATTCCATGTTTACACAATAAATTAAATTTGGGAATAAGTAAATAAAATTCAACGTTCTCGAATTTTGAAGTGAGTTTGCGAGTGGTCCAATTAGTAAGTGAACGGTTATCATCATAATTTATAATCGAAGAATTTTTTCCTCTACACGTTCAAGTCACATCAATTAAACATTTTATAATTTAAAAAACTTCTGGCCAGTAAATTTATTAAATTAATAAATGAATTTATTTATATCAATTATCATTTTAGCTTTAATAACCTCAAAAATTGCCTGGCTATGTGCAATTGAAATTGGTTATACAAATTGGTATACATGTGCGATTCTTCAAAATAAACAGTCCGTTAACCTCTGTGCTGAATAATTGCTATATTATTGATGTTTACACTTGTGTTTTGATATCTAAATCAATCAGGTATAGATTAAAATGTGCTTGTATTAATATTAAACATTTTGCTATTTTGACCTTTACTTGTTTGAAAAAAAAAATTTTCGCACTACAAAAAAACATGGTTGATGTAATAAAATCCAATTAATAAAAAAAAATAATTATTAAATTAAAACCAATTTTTTAATGAGGGATAAAAATATAAACAAACTCTTCCTCACAATGATGGAATTTAACAATGTATTCAACTTACCCATTTACTTCATTCTTGATAAACAAAATGCAAATTCCAAGCAAACAAAAGTTCAGAAAGAAATTAAATATTCGAAGTTAAATGTTCAAAGTTTAACGTTGGCCTAAAGTTCAAAAGTATAGAGCGTTTTGGCTTGTCTCGAATCCTATTATAAGTTTGTCATCTGTCGGCTTGTCTCGAATCCTAAAAAGTTTGTCATCTGTCGGCTTGTCTCGAATCATAAAATCTTTGTCATCTGTCGGCTTGTCTCGAATCCGAGCATGGTGTTCGTTGGTCAGCTTGTCACAAATCCGATTATTTTTTTTTCGTAAATTATTTTGTTTTTTTCGTTTCAATTCCCTTCCTGTAATGTGGATGCCTGTTGTTTTGTTTTACTTCTCATGGGTTTCAATTCTTGTTAGTTAGTTGCGGTATATGAAGAAAAATTTTAATTCAGTTCCATTCTAGTCATCCAGACAGGACCAACAATCTGCTTAACCGCAATTCGGGTATCGTTTAGTGCGTCTTCCATGTTAAATATCGGTTGGTTGGTGATGTGTTGAATCTAACTACTGACTACTGACTACTTACTACTAACTACTGATCACTGACTACTGGTTACTGGTTACTGACTGATTCCGTGATATGGGGTGTTTGCCTATTATACTTTAGGTAATGGGGGTGTGTCTCAAGTAAGTCACCCCATACTTTTAGAGTTTCTGATTGGATCATAGAGAAATTCTTTCTCTATGATTTAATAACTTGTTTACTAAAAAACTACTAATTAAGATCTATCACAAACTTCAGAGCTTAGGCTCAAAACTGACAATCATAGATTCATAGTGTGAGAAAGGCCAAGTCAACTGACTAGGGTAAAGTTATACAAAGTCCAGTTATATTATTAGATTATCTGTATACTCAAGTTGACCATTAAAACTGTCAATTCAATTTAAGGCATTTATCAGGTGAAGGGTATCGATTCCAATGGTTATGCAAGTTAATACCATTGAACCTTAATACTACATTACATTAATAAGCATCATATTATTAGACCATCACTACTGAACAACTTTCATTGTTGTTTTTATTATTATTATTATTATTATTATTATTATTATTATTATTATTATTATTAAAGATTCATTATCAATCTGCAGCACTGTAGGTAAACGTTTTCAAATTTTTATACAAAAAAGACAGTATTTTGTTCTTCATGTTTAGTCAGTGTTCTGAAATAGTGGATTACCTGTTTCTACTTCATTGTTTAATTATAATAAAAATAATAAAACATTTATAATGCGCTAATTTCAAGGAAATGATCAAAAGCGCAGAGAGTACAACTAGAGAAAGATTTGAAAATTTGAAAATGCGAAGTGGGGATGGACTAAAAAGAGTTAATGAGATGGGACTTCAGTTTTAACTTAAATACATCAATAGAGGGAGACAGTTTGATAGAGAGTGGCAATTCGTTCCACAGCGCTGAAGCAGCATAGGCGAAAGTTCTTTTGCCGTATGTTTTTGTTTTAATTTGGGGTGACGAGAAGATTTTTGTTGTGAGAGCGGACTCGTCGGTTAGGGACATAAAATTTCAGAAGTTGAAAGAGATAGGAGGGTTGTTTAGATTGAAGAACCTTAAAACAAATTATAAGAATCTTAAAACTGATGCGTTCGGAGAGGCAGCCAATGTAGATTTCGAATGATCGGTGTAATATGTAAACGTCTCTTGGTAAGAGAGCACACTCGGGCAGCAGAATTTTGAATTTTCTCTAACCGGTTGATAGAAAAAGATGGTAAGCCAACTTATAGAAAATTACAGTAATCAAGTTTTGAAGAAATGAAGGCACGGACAAGTGTTCAGAAGATTTAGAATTTAAGTATTTACGAATCTTTTTAAGGTTACGCAAGTAATAATGGGCAGATTGACAAAATTTATTGATATGCAGATTTAACGAGAAAAACTCATCCATAACAAAACCAAGATTCCTAACCGATGAGGATGGTTTAATTTTAATTGAGCCGAGAATCAAAAAGGGGAAGGTTGGTTTTGGGGTAATAGATCGCGATAAAAAACAATAAATTCAGTTTTGGAAGGATTTAATTTAAGTATGTTATGAGAGAGCCAAGATTCAATGTCAGATATGCAACTTTGAATTTTGTTTATTATGCTTTGTGTGTCGGAAAATGGATTAAATGGTAGATAAAGCTGTCGTCGGCGTACATTGAATGTACAAATTATGGGAACGGATGATCTTAGCAACGGAGGAAATATATAACGAAAAAAGTAGAGGACCAAGAACAGAACCTTGTGGAACACCACAATGTAAGCTTTTAGGAGAGGAAACAGAGCCGAGAACGTTTACGTTTATTAATTTTTGGTTTCCGTTTGTATGAACCCGTGGTCTTAATCTTGATTCAAGTCCAATGGGAGTATGCGACTGGTTCATTTCGTTGACTACGAATTTTCGTTGCTTTATTATTTTCATTCGACTGGTTCGTAAAATAGACTTCGTTGACAAGAAAATTAACGTAAACCAGAGTGCGTTAATCAGCGTTATTCACATGACCAAAACAAACATGGCCGATTGGTGAGTTTAGAAACAACATTCGCGTTAATATGATTTAGATTAAATTTTAAGAAAAAAAATTTTTAATATTTACCCACATGAAGTCAAAAATTAATTGTAGACCAACAGAATTCAAAAACTGGATGATTTTTTTTTTTTTTTTTTTCACAAAGCTGAATCTTGATTACCCAGCGTGTATCGCGGTAACTATGCAGCAATTTTGTTTTGTCGAGTATTTTCTATTCGACTGGTCGTCTTTAAGTAGGATTTTACCTCTGCGCAGGTGGGAGTGGTTTAACGAAGAACGACTAGTCGAATACGGCCATTTTATGTGACTGGCGTCACCAACGTTTAAACTAGATCATGGCCTCAACCCTTCCATAGATTTTTTTTTTTTTTTTTTTAATAATTTTGTGTTAATCTTTCTTTTATTACTTAATGATTAAAAATATTATGCAAATACTGATATGTGTCTGTGTGTGATTTTTGACAGCCATTAACTTTGTAAAATTAGCTTTATGTTTAAATGATCATCCTTCGGAGTAAATTACAATAGGCCTACTGTACTAGGCTGGCCCTCTATTATTTTAGAATTATGCTTTCCCTACTTTAGGGGCGTATTTATAACGTTACAGGGAATTTGAATCTATTTTTAGATCTAATTTGCGACTCCGCTAACTAATTTCTACATTGGATCATGTTGCAGCTACGATAGCATTTGCTACAACAAACACTTTTGTACTTTGGACTTCGTAATTGCTTTAATGTAGGTAGGCCTATACCACGTAGCGATCAGAAAAGAACGAGCCTATTAAGAACAGTGGACAAACACGTAAGTTAGCGGTTTTTGCCCAGTTAGCATGCTAGAGGCGTACTCAGTTTAAAACTGTTAAGTTGAACGATGATTATTGGCTTGGCTAGCTTATGGAGAAATGTAGACCA